TAATCTCGGGGGATTTGGTTTCTGAAGCTGTGCGACAAGCAGAATAATATACGAAATTTAGTATGGGTGTGTGTCATACTTCGGCTATCGAGAAGTATAAAACGTAGTTGGTTTTTCAAAGCTTAACTCTCTTGGAATCGGGCAGAGGTACATACCCCCATTTCTGGAATTTACAAGGTAGTATTCGCCTATGCTTTCCTTTCCAGTATATATACGAGGCGGCAAAGGTAGACACAACCCTTGCTTACACTGTTACAAGATTCAGGACAGAGGCTGAGCACATGCCCTTGTGGCGTTCTGAGCATATTGTAGATGCTGACGTTGGGTAATTCTCACTGAAACTCACAACAATAGATATTGACCCATCCATATGCTTTTATTATAGTTCCCACTGTATTATGTCGCTAACCTGGCAATGGGGTAGTGCCAAGGTTACATCCGGTCTGGTTTTTAAATCCCTTGTTTGCTATTTTATCCTCAGTATAGTCACTATGCAAGGGGCCGCCCGTATAATAACGATACAGTAAACGCAATCGACTGGTCCAGGCCTCAGCATAGGGTAAAGGGAACGCATTTTATTGGTCTGTAATAAATAGCTTCTCCCATTGGGAGGGTTGGCTTACACACGTATAACCGATAGTATCTTTATCTGGACTGGTTAACCCCGTTCCGACCCTACTAACAATCCGATATCAGGGATCGGTTATTCAACATGTTACACCACTGCCAAACTCTCCTCCGTAAATCTCGTGTTTGTATTATGGTGATCCAGGGTTACGTGATATTTCCCATGGGTCCAAACTACGATGGTCCTATTAACTGGTGGACTGCTATTCAACTGCAAGGGAAGCCTGATATTCCCAGAGTCTCCGGGGTCCGATGGGCTGAGCACCTCGGGAGACACGGTAAGTCGGCCTTTGACAGCCACTATTGAATCGTTGGGGGATACGAAGCAAACTCAAGAGTTGCCAACAAAGGGCTGGCACTTTGTGGCTGACACTGGCGTTTTGCGCAAGACGATATAATATACGTATAGGTCATACCTGTTTTCGGATTGTCTATCTTAAATTGAGAGTATCATGGTAGAAGAAGCAGACGGCCAACCAAAGAATAGCAGGCAAGGAGTATCAAGAGAACACTGCATCAGTTCCGTAACCACCATACCCATGGCCAAACATATGAAAGGCGACTTCAAGAGTAATAGCACACATGAATTCCTTGCTTATTCTACTCACGCCGTCTTGTAACCACTCGCATGAAACAGTCTCATAGGACAAGAGTACTTTTGCAACTAAAACTTCTAAGATACTAATCTATGTAACTGACTTTCTATGATTTATCTCCCAAATGGCTAGTGAGGAGTATCCTCATTTTGTTCAAAATGCTCCCTCGCCCACGGACTCCTCAACCGGATAGCGCGCCCCATGTAGAAGAAGATGAAAGGAATTGGAACCAACAAAATGGCCAAAAAGCCCAGCAAGCTGGACGCCCACTCATAGCCCAGGCGTTCATACATCTGCGTCGCGAAGAGAGGAAACCCAGCGCCAACCAAATTCCTGACCAGGATCACGCCCGCCAGAGCCGACGCGGAATAGGTCTGATAGCTATCCACGACATAGTTGAGGATACTCAATATGACAATGTAGATCCCGGCTCCAAAGAAGGCCGAGGCAATTATGGGCACGATCCAGTGGACCGACCGATAGCTTGTCCATCCAAACCAGAAAAGGCTAATGGGAATTAATATCGCACCCAGTCGGGCCATCCACATGCGCGCTTCTGGGACACCCTTGTCGTCGTTTTCTTTGATCCAACGCAGGTAGTACCGTTCTTGGAGGGGATAGAAGCAGAATGCGATGATCGGGCCAATGGCCATGCCGAGGAAGGTGAGGCCTTGCTGGCCGACGTTGAAGCCGTGGCCCTTCCCAGGACCGAAAACAAGCGGGAAGGCCTCGTTGAAGAGATAGACCAGACCGTAGAGAAAGCCGTTGTAAATCGCTGAGAATGTTGTAATAGGTTCAGTGAATAGGAAGCGGAATGGACGAGTGAGGGTAATCTTAAACAGCTCGTCCAGACCCTTTCGCCCACTCGCACTGGCATCGGTGATGGTCTCAGCGGATCTCAAGTTCTCTTTCTGCATCGATTTTCGGACTCTTTGAGCTTTCCGCTGCAGAATGATCGTGTGTCGCGTCTCGGGTACTGTGAGAACAAGTAGAACCCACCAGCCGCCGGTAATGGCCATCATGATCCAGAAGATCCACCTCCAGCCCAGATCGAGGGCCATATACCCGCTGACCACGAGTGCCATAGGCGGTCCGAAGGTACTGCTCAGGCCGTAGATAGCCATTGGTCCGCCACTGGTGTTTCTCTCCCATAGGCCACTGATTGATCCGCCAGTGTTGGTCAACGGGGCACCGCCAGCAAAACCGGCGATGAACCGGCAAACAATAATGGTCCCAATATTTGGTGCGAGCGCAATCGGAAGCTGAAAGATAAATAAGAGAAACCACGATACAACATACACAGGTTGGCGGCCAAAATATTCGGATAGAGGGGCAAGGAGGACAGGACCGACAGCATAGCCTAGAACATAGAGCGATAGGCATAACGTAGTGACTTCTCCGGATACCCCAAATTCCGACTGGATAGCGGGCGCGCCGGACGATATGCTACCTGCGCACCACGTTCTAATGAATTATCAATGATCTATCTATAGGGTGGAGTCTGGACTTTCAGAACGTACGTGATAACATTGAGCATGCTCACCATGATGGTAATATACCATTTCCGCCATTTTGGCCAACATCGTGGGTTTTCGCGATCGTTGTGCGAAAAGGTTATACACAGTGGCAATGCCTCTTCTGGGCTATTTCTTGCTCGCGCAAATGCCTCCTTTTCCGTCACCATCAGAGGCCGACCCTTACCGTACAAACCCGACTGCTTCTTCTCCAGGGAGGCACCGTAGCCAATATGGCTTTCCTCTATGGATGTCATGGCTCAAGAACGCACAGGTAAATGCGAAAGAGCTGCTTGCGGAAGGAAACTTGGGGAAGGAACCGGCAGAAATCAAGTTTGGGTGCGTGTATTAGTAAAATGGGTCGTGACGTGAGTTTGAAGATGAATGGATTCCAAGGCATATCCCCACTGGATATCTCCAATAAGACGGCATGCTGTATCTGCCGACCGGCTTTGAACTCCCCATATTTCGGCCATGGCCCCAGTGCAGAAGCTTTCGCCCAAGCTTTTCGGTGCGATGCTTGGCTGCCGTGGCCTTTCCGGCCCACAGCTCTGACGACGATCTGTGGTTCAAATTACATAATGCACATTGGTTCTTCATGTCTGGAGAAGGTCGCTTCGAGTTCCCCAAGGAGATATTCAAGTGTCTCCAAGTTGGAGATGCTCTATAATCCAATTGACATGGTTGGGTTTATGTTCTGCGAAACTCGACTGAGGTATTGCTCGTATCAGACTGGAATCCCAAAATATAAAATCTCTTTCGATTCTCTTACCCATCATCATTACTATTACTAATAACTAAATTATTTTCTCTTTATGTAATATAGTAACCTTTCGCAGCTGAGAATATATAATCTAGTGCTTAGTAAATATTGAACTAAAATGTATTTAACTTGTCTCGGGTAACTCTCCTTAGCAAAGCTACAAAGATATGACACTGGTGATAACCTAATACATATAAATAAATATAGATAATTGATCATGGCCTGGTACTGTGGCATAACTGCCGAGACGCTACTGATAATGGGTACGGTAGGGGTTGAAGGATAAGACTGGGGTTGACATTATACGATGTAAAAGCGGCCAGCCACCATCAAATGATAAATTGGGGGTTGAAAGAGAAATATAACAAAGCTTAAAGCTTTTACCAAAGAGAATGGAAGCTATAACATAGGCTAATGGATGTTGTAGAAGTACATATACCGTCTCGGAGATGGCTAAGCATATCTACTCCGCTGGATGTTCGATCTTCAGGCTAAGCTATATAAGATACAATGCAAACTTGCGAGAAAACGGCGATTTTCAATTTCTTCTTTATTTGGACTCGATCTGTTCTTTGGGACACGTTCTTTGAATCATCGACAGCGTTGGGGAGACGTCAGGTAATCGTCATCAAATAGTACTGTATCGGGTAACCTAAGTCTTACCAACCTAGAATCACTACAGACGATGTACGCTACCACTGAATACTCTGTAGATTTACCTGTGACTTGGTGCTGGCGGGCAACTAAGCCTTGCCAATCCATTGAACTATAGCTTCACAGCGGGTATTATTGTAAATTTCTTTTGGGACAGCACGTTGGCGCCACCCAAGTACGTAGGACTTCAGTGCCACCTGTTTGACTAGCTATTAACATGATGCTTAGGCAAGTTTTAAGTAGTTTGTTTGAATTCTTGGTTACATAAATAATCAGGGTATGCCTAGTGTCCGTTGGCAAGTTGGCCGACAGGTCAAGGTAAGCCGCTCCCATTAATCCTGATAGGATGATAGGCTAACAAATGAACAGGCAGCAGATTCAAGAAAATTATAAGCCCTGCTTTGCATTCATTTAACTTGGTCTGTTTGACTTAAGCTTCAAATGTCGCTTACCTTTACCGCAAATGGCGTCGTCAATTGTCATCAAGAATTGGTCTTGGACAAAGGAACGGATGATCTCCTTGTACATAAGCATTATGTATTGCCTATTTGGGAAATAGGGTAAAGGAGCTTATCTTAATCTTAAGATTGTAGATCGACCTAAGGCTGGACCCAATTAAAATAAATAGGGCCTTTACTCACTGCTGGATTCCATTTAATTCACATTATCAACCAACTACCTGATTCTTAGATAGTCAGATTTCCTCTTTTCTACTCTTTTTGAATAGGCTTTGAGTCTGATAACCCTAGTTTCATTGCTGGTCTACTCATTGAACCTATTGATCTTATTCAATTCACTGATTCTAATTTCCTATTCTGTTGTAAATTCAATCACCAACTTTTGCCACTCCCCACTATGCCGATCCCTGAACAATGCACTGTCCTCGTGGTCGGTGGTGGACCAGCAGGGTCGTATGCAGCAGCGGTTCTAGCGCGAGAGGGCATTGACACGGTGCTCTTAGAGGCTGATGTGCATCCCCGGTACGTTCACCTCCCTGTTGTCGGCTCGGCAGGCTTTTGGCGAAGAAGAGCTTTTCTTCTGACATAGACTATCCAGATATCATATCGGGGAGAGTATGCTGCCTTCGATGCGCCATTTTCTACGCTTTATCGACTGTGAGAATACCTTTCTCCAACATGGATTTACCAAAAAGGTGTGCCATCATCTGAGCATATTCCTATGCTACATGCTGACCTGTCCAGGTCGGCGGAGCTTTCACTCTGAACCAGGCGAACTATGAGGGATGTAAGTATATCAGCAAAGGCCCGTCACTACATTGGCCCCCTGTCTGCTAACAGTCCACAGACACAGATTTTATTGGTGAAGGAGGGCCAAACAATTATACATGGAACGTGATACGCTCAGAAGCAGATGAGCTGCTCTTTAGACATGCCGCATACTCAGGGGCAAAGGCCTTTGAGGGTGTCAAGGTCAATTCGGTTGCCTTCATGCCATCACTCACGTCGAACGCAAGCCGCGGGCGGCCTGTCTCGGCGTCCTATACACGAAAGTCCGACGGGGCGACTGGCGTCATCGGATTTCAATATGTCATCGATGCCAGTGGCCGTGCTGGAATACTCAATACTAAATACTTCAAAAATCGAAAATATAACCAAGGTCCGAGGAATTTTGCAGTCTGGGCGTACTGGAAGGCAACGGGCAAGTACGGTAAAGGAACTCAGAGAGAGAATTCGCCTTACTTTGAAGCGTTGATGGGTAGGTTCTAGCCCGCAATAATCGTCCGAGAATTGGTAGTCGGAGTGCTGACGACATTGTTGCCGATGTGAAAAGACGAAAGCGGCTGGGCATGGTTCATTCCTCTCCATGACGGCACCCATTCTGTCGGTGTGGTGATGGACCAGGAAAGGATTAACCAGAAGAAATTCGTTTCTGGGCTCGCCACAACTGAACTTTATCTGCCGTCGCTAGAGCTAGCACCTCGCCTTAACAGCTATCTGTCTGGTGGTAAAATGGTCACTGATCTCAAATCGGCATCGGACTTCTCCTATGATTCATCTTCTTATGCCTGTCCCTATGCCCGAGTTGTCGGGGATGCAGGATGCTTCATCGACCCATTCTTCTCGTCGGGAGTCCATCTAGCCATCACAGGCGCGTTGTCCGCAGCCACAACCATCTGCGCTGCAATCAGAGGAGACTGTGATGAGGAGACTGCAGCAACGTGGCACAGCGCAAAAGTAAAAGGGGGCTACTTCCACTGGCTCATCGTCGTTCTCAGCGCTTATAAGCAAATGTGCAACCAATCTGAGCCAGTTCTGAGTGATGTTGGGGAGGACAATTTCAATCGGGCGTTCAACTCCTTCAAGCCAAGTAAGTTCACCATATTGATATTACAGAATCCTTGACAACAGGCCCCTGTGCCTCTTTTCTCGGGTACCAGATCTGACACTCTGCTTCTATCAGTCATCCAAGGAGCTGCCGATGTCTCTAGGAAGCTCACCCAAGCCGAGTTCTCCCGTACACTCAACTTCGTTGTCAAAACCTTCGATCGTAAGAGTGGAGTCGACCTCACAAGCGAGGAAGAACAGAGAATCTTCGAAGGAATGCGCCGGACACAGTCCCAGAACATGGATAATATTGAGGGCTTCACAGTAGATGTTATTGATGGATGTCTGCCGAGACTGTTGAGAGGGAAGTTGGGACTTGAATCCGTGGCCGTGATGAATGGGGACACGAAGCACTGTACCACGACTACAGGATCATCGGTAGTGTACAACACGGCGACATCGGTGTAGTGATAGGCTTGCCTCAAGAGTTGGTGGTTCTGGGTATGACTGTCGATGTATCATTTTTGAGCAGAACAATTCGTCAAACAAGACAAACAAAATACAGGACAAGCATCAGGGACCCGCCGTGGCTGACGTCATTCCCGACCGCTCCCGTTGAAGCCCTGAAAACAAGTTTAACGCCAGCCATCTCATCATCTTCTCGGCAGATCAACACGCAGGAGAATAGTAGATCGGCATATGATGACATGAAATCAGTTCATAAAGCATAGAATACCTTCCTACTTAGCCCTCATAGGTAACCAGCCGCTTCCTTATATGCCAAGCCATATCACCATCTTTTCTATACTGGATAGACTAGACTTCGCAATATCATTTCATTTCACTCGGTTTATTTGTCTTTCACTATCAATTATTGTGTTGTTATTATTTGTTTTATTTCATATTTCAAATCCTTGCTGTGATACCCTCGTTCTTGTAAACTCTCCGATATGGCTGTGATTTGGGGTTTAGATCTCCACGAGATCCAATTCTCCAAGTTCAAGGGGAAATATATGTTCAATCGCATCTACCACCTACGACGCACAAGAATGATTGTCTACCAACTAGCCATGATCCTCTGCGTATGCTCCGAGTCGGTGGGAACAGCAGCCTTATCAGGTACATATAAGCCTCTTCCAAGACCCTGTTCTAGCTAAGGTTTTGCATACTAATCTCATTCATTCATCTTCCCATAGACTATCTCGATCAACAGAGCAATATCCAGGGGCAACACCCTGGCGTCAAGGTCCACAATAACAGCTTCATCGGCGCGGCCTCATACAATATATTCGTGGGAATCTCCGTGGCAACGATCTTCGGCGCGGCGTTCTTTTTCGACCTCTTCTGGCCCGACAGACACGAAAGTACGTCTGTCCGATTAGCGTGGAAAATATGCGCGGTGGTTGTCTCGGTAATGATGCTCAGCTCCGCTCTTGTTATGACGGTATGCTTCGAACAAAGTACTTGTCGGTCACAATTCTCAGGATACTCATAGAAAAACCAGGTTGTCACTGCCATGTACAGTGCCGATATCACTGGTACGGATGCCGCCTCTGCGAGAAAGTTCTGGTCTGAGGCCGAGAAGAAGCCCGCTCTTGGTATGGTACCCATTGACCTAGGGACCCTTGTATCCGGCTTTTGGCTATAGTATGGCTAACAAGCATTTTAGCATACAGAACCAATCCCAAGGCAGTTGCTTCGGTTGTTCTAGCTTGGCCCGGCTGGGTCGCGACTGTTGTTAGGTATGTTCGTCTATATAGACGCGGTCTATGAACGCATCGGTACTGATCATGACCTTAGTACTATTGTCCTTTTCATGTCCAAAAAGCACGATGATCAATACGGTGCCAAGTCTAACTATGGTCGAGCCCTGGAGAATGGGGGGAATAACCCGGAAGCGGAAGCGGAAGCCAAACCGATTACAATGTAATGTTCGTTTTATATAGAATGTATTATAGATTTATATACACCACTTGTAAATTAACTCCTAATCAACGCGGCGGACAAGCCTATCATCCATTCTTGACTCAAATTGAGCAGCTCGCGAAACAATATAATGTATGCTTACTCACCTCGAATCATAAATCCACCTTGGTAACCACTAAATCTTCAGCGCTGTCGGGTCTTCGTGTATTGCTCTTTGTCCATCGCCAAAGGTATTGAATCTGTGTGAAACCACAATAATTCGATCTATCTGCGTCATGTGTCGAAAGGAGGCACCACGCTGGTCTCTACCTTTTCTGGAAGGTCAATTTCAGAGGACCAGGGACGATCGTAAACGCATCAACTGCGCCATCTAGGAATGCATCATCACTATGATCAGATGCAAAAGTGACATTATACCGCGTTACTACTTCTGCAACCACTCGGCGAATTTCCATCATGGCCAGCTGCTTTCCTGCACAGACATATGCCCCTAAAGGTTCAAGTCAGCAATGTGTTCTGTTCGGATAGAACATTAATAATACATACCCCCTCCAAAAGGGAAAAATGCCGATGGGTCTTTGACAAGCTCGGGTCTAGTAGTCCATCGTTCAGGAATAAATTCGGTCGGTTGTGGAAATGCACGCTCATCTGGACACAGCCGAACACTCTCAGCATAGTGGTATTTGCCTAGAAGAGACCCACTCACCTCTAAATAAGGAATGCATAGGTATGCAAACTATGACATCTCCAGGGATATAGGTTTCATTGATTTGTAGCCCTTCAGGTGGTGTTAATCGCTGAAGACCGGAAGGTACAGCCGGATGCAAGCGAAGGGTCTCATTGGTCACCCCCTCGAGCAGCGTGACCCCTGTTAAGCTCTCCTGTGTCAAATCCTCCAGCGCATCCAGCTCGGCTTGAAGAGTCTTATAAAGAGTTGGATCTTTTGCAAGATGGAAGAACATATTGGTTAAGGTGGCGGATGCCGTGTCGCTATAACTTAATCAGTTCAAAGTGTTCTACTCCTCTGGTTCAGGGAGGTTGTATGTATATACCTTCCAGCAACACAGATGAGCTCAGCATCGCACGTAAGATTGGCATAGTCTTGCTTGGTCTTGGGACCTTTTTCGTATCCCTGAAGAATCCATGAAAAAATGTCAGGACTGTGAGGCGGATTCTGTCTCCGAGAATTGTTTAGCCCCGTGTTTAATGAGTGTAAATTTTGAGGAAGTGCACCTTGATCCTCCAATCCACCTGCTCTGCGAGCCACTGTAGGTTTTTCAAATGTCCAACATTCAAACCTGGGATTCGCTTGAAAAATGGAAAGATCCATGACAGATGGCTAGTAAGGCCGATCGCTTTCATATTGCCCCGTAGCTGAGTGAGAAAGTACTGGTCTTTGCCTTCCGCCAGCATGTTAAATCCCTTTCCAAATGCCAGATCACCCATCACGTCAAATGAAAAATAGTTAAACCATTGCGTCACATTCATCGACTGGCCCAGATGGCTGTCTATCGCAGTAATAAGTTGAGTCGCATAGGACGAGAGACGCGGCTCGTAATGTTTCAATGCTGGGTTGGGCAAGGTTTAGCTTGTGCGCTATCCACATCTTCGAGTTGGCTCGTACCTTGTGAGCTAAACCCCTGGTCCCACACCTTTCTCTGCATTGCATGTGCTTTCTTATCTCTGACTGTCTCAAGGGACACCCGAGGCTCACTACAGGTGTACCATACACCCTTGGAAACCTTGGCTGACGAGCCATAGATCAGCTTGACAGCTGCGGGATCTCTAATTGACAACTCGGTTGGACCTGTACATGCCATCTAATGAATAGGTTGAACACATATAGGATGGAACTGGGTAAGCACTAACCTATTCGCACGTAATCGCCGTACTTCTCATGCAGTTTCTCAGTTTCTTCATAGAGATGTAATTTCTTGGCGGTCAGCGAAGTTACGTAGAAGTTGGAAAGTCGGGCCAGAAACGGGCCAGGGAACCGATTAAGGCGATGGAATACTGCGCGATAGAGCAACATGCTGGTATAAACACCCAGAACATGGTACTTCACAATATCCCAAGCCCAGTTGGGCCGTTGGAGGACTTCGGTTGCAGGGAGGATCGATGAATATTGTAGCACGATTAGACCAAGTGTCAGAATCATGTAGCAGATGACCATGTCAACACCCTTTAAATCCCATTCGCCATGGCGATACAGCAGATGGTGAATACTGGCACCGCTCAACCCCGCCAGCACTGGCAGTACGCCTAGCGAGCGCAGAAACATGCTTCCACGTTGATTGAACCCAAGACCGTTTCTTACGGAGGTGTGAAGAAAGAGGCCCAAAGGGACACCACTTTTATTTCAACCAGTTTAGGCTGTTGTCGGCAAAAATGAGGCTCTAGCAACGGGGCTCGGATGGCCTGATGATGGCGGGCCTGATGATGGCGGGCCTAACAATGGCTTGGTTCCCACAGAAGTAGGAAAGTTTGGGATTTCCATGAATTGCCGAACGGCCCAATTACAGGTATAAATAGCTGCGAACTAGCTAACAACTACCAATCATAGTGATTACTAGGCCCATAATTAAGTGGTTAAGAGGGGCGTAGTGGAGCTAGGTTCGGGGGCCAAAATGAAGGGAGAGACGACGTTATAAATTAGAACAATATCATTCGTTCAAGACAACAGCAATAAGATACGTTGTTGCGGTAGGCAAGATGCATTATCAATGCGAAATCCCTGTTGTGCATGTCATGACTGGTGAAGAATAGGCAATTAACCATGATGTGGTCAGTGTGTGGGCATATACACCCATCAAATCATTCTCTTTAATATATATATTGCTAGCCGTTAGCATTCTGACACCACTAAAAGGTTAGGTTATATATGTATAATGAGAACCACGACATCACTGGTACGGCCAAGGAGATTATTACTGTGACCACAATCCTATGGTTCTTGGCCATTCTTGCTGTTGCACTTGGTATGTACTCTTAGGTATATTCTGAGCTTTACTTGGGTGTTGACGATTATACTACCATTATTGCCCTAGTAAGAGCTCTTCAATGACCCATCACATCCGGAAATTCAGGCCGACAGTACGCGAGGCTGCGTGGGTAGCTTCTTTCCTGCAGAATCAGTATGACTATCGACTATCCAGCCGCTATTACGGGGATCGGAGACCCAAATCACCACCATGGGCATCATCAAAGTGTCTATCCTGTTTTTCTACCGGTTTGTTTTTGGCATTTCTCGTCCGTTTGCCATGGCCACAGCAATATTCTAATTGTCTTGATTTCAGTTTACCTTGGGATTCGCTCTAGTTTATGCTAGAAATACCCGGTGATTGATGTGGAAACTATGCATCATTTCACATGACTTGAACTTTCTGCGGTCCACCCCAAAATGATGCAGGAAGAGCGAATAGCCATGATCTTTTCCAAATAGTCCGTCTACCTACGATAGGAACCCTATGCCTCATATGACATCAACGTGTCTACGATCCTCATCTAGTACGTCGCCGCGAATGGTTTCTTTGACCTTCTGGTGCCAAACACCTGACAACAGCATGTGGGACTACTGAGCCGTGAGTAGTCAACAGGAATATGACCGGTAGGACCCAATTCAAGCCTCTCCAAAGGAGGGAGGTGGGCTTCGGAGCACGGAGACGGGTGGTTAGATTTGTTTGTGTGTGTAGGTCATATACTTAGCTTGACGCTAAACAGCCACACTCACTTTCCTGTAGTCTGACTGCATTAGAACGGACTGGTATCGCTTCCTAGTCAGAGGGACAGAGCTACAAGAGGCTAAAGGATAAGCAATGTTGCTGTTGATTTCGTAGGGATTTTCTTCCTGTCTCTTCCCATAGATACTCTCCGAGCGTAGTCCAATCCATTCTCTTCATTCTTTTCAATGTATTTTTTCATCATCTTTTTGCCCTGACCCTCCTCTTTCGAAAACATGGCCATCTCCACCGACAAGAAAAAGCCTGCGTTTGTCTTGGTGCCTGGGGCCTCTCAAAACCCAGCACATTACGCCCACCTCCTCCACCTCCTGCAGTCCGCTGGGTATGGGGCAACCACCGGTCTGCTCCCCAGTGTCGGTGCCCAGGGCGAGGTGACCGCCGCCGATGATGCCGATTACGTGCGCAACCGCCTGATCCTCCCCATCCTTGATATTGGCAGCCAGGACGTGATCCTGATCAGTCATTCCTACAGTGGGATGCCCGCCAGCGCGGCTGCGCACGGGCTCGGTCCTGCTGACCGCGCCGCCGAGGGCAAGGCCACCTCCGTCGTCGGCCAGATCTTCATCGCGACTATCCTGCCCCGCGGTGGAGTAAGTGTCATCGATTCCTTTGGTGGACACCTGCCCCCTCACATGTATATCGATGTACGTATTCTATCCTTTCCCTTTCAGTCTAACGACTCACGACCAGAGCTAATTCATACGTGTCTGATGGTTGTCACCGATAGCAAGAGCACAACCTTCTCAAATGCGATTGACCCCAAGCCTCCCCTCTTCTACGATGTAGAACCGACCCTTGCCCACGCGGCCACGCAATCCTCTCTCAGTGAGGGACTGATCTCATTCTCAAGCCCCTGCCCCGAACCGAGTTGGGACACCGAGGCCTTTCGTGGCCGGGTCGCCTACATTCACACCCTCAAGGACCACGCCGTTCCGTACGAGGCGCAAGTCGCCATGGTCCAGGCCACCGGGGTGAAATGGATCACCCGCGAGGTTGCGGCTGGTCACAGTGTACAGCTATCCGCCCCAGAGGAGCTGACCAGGATCATTCTGGAGTTGGCCGAACAATTCCGTTCAAACTGATCCCGGTCAAGTGACGTGAATGGGACCAAGGGGGGATTGGCCGACTCAATGGACAGGAGGTGCTCTCCAATAAATGAGAGGAGGGGTGCTTTGGGCCCCAAAGGAATAATGGAAAGAGAACTAAAATTCCATCAATAGAAGATTTTTCACGCAACTCCCCGGGGTGTTGACTGAGAACTCCACTAAACGATCTCACGGCACTTTCCCACAGTATATAGTTATTAGATATCTTATCTATCCAGCCAATCATGTATGTGATACAGGACTTCAGATGGCATAATATATCGGGTATCTATTACCTGCCGGTATATAGTTGTCAGGCTGTGTAGTTTGGCACGGCAGCTTGCCTCATTTCTACGGAAACATAAAAGGGTGACAATTGTAAGCATCTTGCCTTTGACAATCGCTGATTAGACACCACACATATAGTATGGTTTCCAACTAGACCCAGTAGGTATTGATGGATGATTTGTGATGTTTGAGGGAGAAAAGTCTCTGTATAGACAAAAGTATATCGCATGGCCCCAAGAGACACATATTACCGTCGATAGACCATGGATCGTATATTCACCTATATCATGAACTTCTGAAGCGAGACTTGCCTTTGTATTATTGTATAGCCCCTACCAACGCTACATATTGATCATGGATTGTTGATAGCTACCTTAACTGCCACATGGCTGTATATGCTAGCATCCAACTAAACTACGATGCCGTAGTGTCTAGATAAATTTGAAATACAACTAACAACACTCGCATTTCCTTTTGCAAACCTTCTCATTCTTTCGCCTTGATCACCTGTTGCTAAGCCCAAAACTTACTTTGCATTCGGTTTACCAGATATGTATCACAGGGGTATTGCAGGTGTATTAAAGGGATAACTGTCGTTGGTCGGTGGATCTTGTCTCGAGTCCAGAGCATGTATGAGCTGACGAAAAATATATATGAGTGTCACATCTGCATTGTATATGGTAGCATCTAAGTCCATTCTTCATTACCTTATCCTTTATTTACGGTGGAAGCTTTTCGCTTTTGAAATTCAACGACAGACGACCTGTGGTCATTTTGATTTGTTGTGCCTTGACCACCTTCCTTGTCTTGGTTCTATGGATCTGAGCCTAATACGGCGGTCAGTCCCAAAACAAGGAGCATTCTTGATACTACAGGCCGCTGAGATAATATATTTGGACTTAATGTGCTTAGGGCCAAATAGGATTTGCCTATGAGGAGTTGTTGTGGCGAGCGATCTAACGGGCTGCGCATTAATACCATGCACCAAACTTAGGTCTTAAGATAACATAAATATCCATTCGTAACTGCCCCAACAGCAGTTAGATGTCTAAACTCATGCCTGACCTTTTGGTCATTCTATGTTTGGTATTGCGGCCGATCTTATTTCAAGCGCAAAGGCGAGGGGATATGTGGTATTAGAGCCTGACGCTCTTCAACTTTTGCACGGCATTCTCCAAGGCCTCGATCGCCTCTTCCAAATAAGGGAGCTGAATATCTTTCCCAGAGGCACAGCTCTCTAGGAGGGCGTATCCTTTCTCGTATCGCTCAATCTCACTTTGGAAATATAAGTAGCTGGTGGACATCCGCAGTCGGAACCGTCCATGCAAAGGGCCATCATCGTCCTCACCAAAAGCGGAGCCTGGTAAGGTGGCCAGTCCACATTCTCGTATTAGCCAGGCCGAAAGATCTGCACTAGTAGAAATCCCGAGTTTATCTAGCTGTGCTGCATATGGAGAGAAGGATGGGTAGACGTAAAAGCCACCCCCAGGCTGTCCGACATCCAGTCCGAGTTCTTTGAGAGCAGAATAAAGTTTCCCAGTACAGTACCGATGCAAGGCAGTCACAGACTTGCGGTATGAACACATGGCTTCACTCGTAGAGAAAGCCTTGATGGATGCCAGTTGGGCTGGTGTGGAGGCTGCAGACCAGCATTCGGAAGCATATGCGAGGATTGTCTTGCGGATAATCTCCCCCTTTTCCGAAGGTGGAAAAATGGCATAGCCGATACGCCAGCCTCCAGCCGAGTATGTCTGTTCCAACATTGTCAGAAATAATTCTCACCTGGAAGGCATGTGCCCAGCTACCTTGGATAGTCCACCGGTGAGAATCACCGTTTCGGTATCATCATTGCTGCTGTCAAACGCGCTTGTCCCTTTCTGAGACTCATCGAAGCAAATATCAGAATAAATTTCATCTGTAATTAGAACTATCTCCTTCGATCTGCAAAACTCTTTGATCGTTCGAATGCAGCTGGCGGAGAAGACATGTCCTGTCGGGTTTGATGGGCTGTTGATCAGCATAATGCGGGGAATAACTCCCTCTGAGATTGCTTTCTGATGTGCGGAGAGAAGAGATGACTCTGTCACAATGAGGGAATCTTTCAGTATCGGTAGAATTAATTCATTCGGGGAATACTGACCGGTAATGGTATGACGATCGACAGGATCCGTCTCAACCCAAAAAAGCCTTTTCCTGGCATGTAACACCTGTGGTTCATAACTAACCCACGAGGGACGAGGGAGTAAGACAGCCCCATCAAGTATATCGAATAAACCAAAAAGTAAGGGCTTCGATCCGGGAGCAACCACCACCTGATCAGGACTGATCTTCACGCCGAGACGATCGGCGTTGAAGCTCGCAATTGACTAGGCTCAGGCATTAGCACATTCTCTAGGAGACCTAAGTGATGAAGAATTGAAGATGACAAACCGCTCGTAAATTCTCTATACCGGCTACCGGCATGTAGCTAGTTTCATTAGAGGCGTCCTGATGGGCCTGAAGAACGTCTTGCTGGATGGGAAATGTGGCCTCGCCAAAGCCCAAATGAATGACATGTTTGCCTTGTTCTCGGGCCTTTGATACTAGTTCATTTATCTCCAGAGTGGGAGAAATATGCAACTTGGCAGCGGTTGAGTTCACGACGTTTGCCATGATGAGTGTGGTCTTTCTCGTTTATGGAGAGCCGTGATGGACCGAGATGGAGCGCATAAACACGTTGTGTCTGCCGCTTAAATATAGATGGAGCTAGGCTTCTCCGCGGTTATATCGGTGCAACAATACTGAAAAGCCGCTTTCAGCCACTCGGTAATTGATTCCCAACCCAAGCTCTGGCGAAATGTTGCCAACTTCCCCAAGACTTTGAAACGCCGAGTCACCGAAACGCCGAATCTAACAAGCGCGCTTGTTGATCTAGTAAAAGATAGCACTTTCGTCATCGCTGAATCCCGGTGCCAACCGTTGAACTTGAAGGAGCAAAATACCAACTAATAGGTAATTTGGTGCATATCTGACTTTTAGCTGTCGACTAGTATTGTGCAAGCCTTTAGATCGATGACATATCTCAAGATTAGGGAAGGTAATACCTAATAGATAGACCACGAAGAATGTATTTCTTTACAGTACATACATGGCAGGGAACTATACAGTATGGCCAACAAGGAGAGATGTTCAAATCAAGATATGTTACGTTCCACTTCCTCGACATATTGCTTCGTTATTATGTTGGCTGTGATGTCCATCTCCCGGAAACTCACAAATCTGGTGTGTCGCATGAATTTGTACGATACTAACAAAAGAACATAGACCAATATCCCAGCATAACTAACAGCAAAATCCACAGGATCAAAGCCGTGCACAAAGCTAGAGAAACCTAACAGATAGACACCATTAGTGAAGCATTGCGTATTGTTGTCGTCGGTACTCACCACTAGTAAGGAGAATCAGAACAGTAAAGAATAGAGTAATTTGGGCCCTGGCCTTTTGGAAGTGCCCCGAGAAGGGCAGATCATCTCTGCTAACTTCCTGGGCTTCCATGCCCTTTTAGAAAAATAGATGGGTCACTAGGATACTGACCCAGTTCAATAACCCCAGGATTGTAGAAAGGGACACAAAGTATTCAAAAACCCGAGCGCTTCCTGAATCAATGTCCAGCGATGCAACATAGATATCTGCTCACACTCGGTCAGCAAGTGGTAGTCAATCACCCAATAAATAACTCAGTAGGCCTCAGCGCGAACCTGTATTTGTCGCACTTAGTACAAACACTAAGAGACAGCCGTTGATTATATGAGGAAGGGTAGAAATTCCCGAATCGACAATTGCGACGACAAAAGGTGACGCGCCTTCGTATGTCAGCACGAGTGTCTTGCAGCGAAAAGAAAAATATTCAATAAAGGTTACCTGCACCAGTATCTGCTTTCGTAGCATCTATCAAGCGTATGTTCGAAGAAGGCACAACTAACCCTGAACAGAAAACACCCCCAACATAAAAAAAAATGTAATTCGCCAGAAAGCCGCATTGATGGCTTTGGGAATCGTCTTCCATGGCTGTGTTGCCTCTCCAAAAGTTATACCCACCATCTCACTGCCCATATATGCAAACGCAGCATTGGCCACAGAACCCCAGAAACCGAGAAAGCGTCCCGTGGGACCTGTTTCGAGGTACTTCTTGAAGGCACCGGGGTTTTTCCAATATCTGATTCCAAGACGCCCTTGCGGGCTGCCCCCCAGATCAATAACTAGGCAGAGAATCATTAAACCCATAATAGTTACTGTCTTGATACATGCTATGAAGAATTCAACTTCCCCAAAATACTGTACGGGCATAAACTGGGCCAAGTACAATTACAGTCAGTTTCCTCGTCACGTCCAAAGGTGGAGAAATCACACATTGACGAGTATAATGATGACGGCAAAGGAAACAACCCAGACATTAGGGTCATAATGATGAGCCAATATTGCATCACTCTACCCGATGCTGTGAGATTGTTGGCCAGGAGCACCACATATTTCAGAAAATAGTTCATGCCGGTGGCGAACCTCAGTTTTTAAGTCTCAGTATGACTTCAAATGACACTAAGCAGATAGTAACATATCCAAAGGCCGGATCCACCAGTCGAGAGGCATAACCACCAAAACCTTGGTCCATAGGCATAAAAACGGCCATTTCGCCGAGAGCAGACATAATGTTAAGCACCAAAAGACCAACGAATGAATATGCCAAAAGCATGCTGGCGGGCCCACCTCTCGACAGCGCTGTCGCACTGCTAATGAGCAGGCCTGTTTCAATAGCACCTGCAAATGGAAAACATCCCAACATGTTCGGGACTTGAGACTTCTCGCAAGCGAATTCTGACCATCCTCGACAAGGGCGTTGGCAGTGTGCGGAGCGGCTTCGACGTCAATATTATTAGCAGCAGGCGAGCCGCTAGATGACTCATTAACTTTCTCATCGGGAGACATTGTGAATCGAAATTTTCCAGAGCCAAGCCATATGATTACCCCAGCTAGACGTAGGCGACATTGCGGTCATGGGTTTAAATACGTCTCATGGAACTCTACTGCCTGGCTTACTGGAACGTGAGGAGACGTGTTACTCCTTAAGTCATTAACCTGCCTGGCGTTTCGGCAATTGCCAGATAGATACTACTGGTTAACTTGTGGTCATCTTCTAGAATAGCCTCAAGACGCTTTACCAGGTCAGGAAATGATAGAGCTCGGTGTTTCGGCGTTCCGGCGATTCAGAGCTGGTGAATAGAGTTTAACTAGAATATAGTCAAGGCCCATGAATCCAACGACTCCCTAGGATATATGTCGCGATTAATTATCGAATACGGGAATGATACATCAGAAGCCATCATAGCAGAAGCAATCAATTTTACCGCCAAACTAGATTCTGTCCACAATGTTCAACAATGGCTATTTGTAAAGTGGTAAAGCTGGCATAAAAATCCATCACGTGATATCAAATATACGTCATTTAGCGTCGACTTTCCAAACACCGAATCTTATCACCAATCCTACAAGTAGTGTCAACTCACTGAGAATGGCGGACGAAATACCCTCCACTTTGAGGCATTCTGAGAGATTGTATAAAGCATCTACAACTGAGCTTCCCCGCACCAATCCCACTTTAATGCACTCCCGCCGAGCAACCCGCAAGGCGTGTGCCCTTTGTCACGAGCGGAAAATCAAGGTGAGAGCTCCAACTGGTGCCAAATCTACCATGCGCTGATGTCGTATTCACACGCTAGTGTGATGGAGCTACACCAAGCTGTCGGAACTGTTTGCGAGCACAAGCTCTTTGCCGACCGCATGAGCGGCGCCGCCGGTTCACTGTTCGCACACCGGAGATTAATCCAGGCCAGCCACCGCTGGCGACATTTGAGAGACTTACTTGGTTGGAGAACGAACTCTTGCGGGTTTTGAACATTGACCTTCGCGAGGTGAGCACTGGAACTGCACTTGACTCTCTTTTACGCGCACAGGGTACACCCCGCGTCGCTCGTCACCCTGCACAAAACGCAGGTGCTCGGTTTGCGATGTCGCAGAGTGAGGGACACCCACCAACTGAGGTTGATCCGGACATTCCCCTTTTGGCGTTCAACGCTACTGGTGAAGCGCGGTATTTAGGTGCATCGAGTGGCTCCATCTTCGCCCAATTTATTGCAAATACTGCCCAATCAATTTTAACACCGGGGCCCACTGGGCCGTGCCTTCACCCACATACAGATGAATCCCCGACTGTCCATCGCGCCGTCGTCTCTTTTAATGCCGCAAAGTGGAGAACATCAGGGATATTTGCTTTCCTGTTACGATGTTATCTAAAGTGGGTACACAGCTGCTATCCTTTATTCATGTCTCAGGATATTGCGGCGCTCGAGTCCATGGGCAATTCAAGTAATGCTCCACCGGAAACTGGGGACATGGCTATTATTTTCTATCTTGTCATGTCGATAGGTGCTGTTCATTCCGAACAACGGCACCTCCTCGATCACTTCCAGGCGGATACAGGACTTCGGGAGTATCAAAATGACGCTTCGACATATGGAATTACATCGGAGGCATTATACCGAAAGGCTCTTGGACTGCTTGCATCTGAACCATCGAACCTGGTTCCTCGTACATCATTGGTACAGATCCTTGATCTGATTTCGATTTATGCCTCTCATCGTCCGTCTGACAATGAACAATGGCATATTGCAGGAATGGCTATGCGTGTAGGTCTTAGAACCTTACTCAACTGACGGCCGAGAAATAAACTAATCGAATCGGAAGATAGCAATAGAGCTAGGTTTACATCGACATAACGACGGCTGGAAGTTCACTACGGATGAGCTTGAACTTCGACGCCGAGTGTTCTGGACGACCTATGCCATTGAAATTACGCTGGCGTTCAATTTAGGCAGACCCACTAGTATTTCTTTTGAAGATGCGGATGCACCTTTACCTAGCAATACGGAGGAAGTGGCACTCTCAATTCACCATATTAGACACCGGCAAATACAAGAGCAAATGCTGTGCGTTGTCTATCGAAGCAGATCGCGCAATGCAGTCCCAGTAGCGGAGCCTGAAGAATCCCTGTCTAAAGTTGAGAGCCTCCAACAAAAGCTGGACCGATGGCATCAGGAGTTACATGAATTGTATTACCAGTCAGCATCACCCTACCCCGTAGAATATTGGGATCGACTTTATTATTCAACATCTGCAGCGCTGTCTCGGCCAACCCCTCTTGTTCCCCGACCTGGACCCAAACTTCAGAAAAGGTGTTTTCTGTCGTCGTGCCGGGTAATTGAGATCCATGAAAAGCTTATCCGAAACTTCCGACTCCCCTACTCCTGGATGTTACTACAAGGTCTTGTATTCTCGGCCATCTCAATGATCGTCACAGCTAGAACAAGCCCCATAGTGTTATCTAGGGAATTTGGAGTGGACGAGTTTCTGGACGTTCTGACTAGATGTGTGCGCAAATTTCACGTTGTGCTGGCTGTGTTGAGAGAGAGATGGACTGGTCTAGGGATGAGACATCTAGAAAATTTACTTGACAAATTATGTCAGGATACCTTGAGGCATACTATCAACATTCTGGCAAAGCAACCGTCTGGAAAGGCCTTATCCGTGCAACCGTCATTCCATCCCGACTTTCCGTCCGAGAACCTGCCTGCATCCTCTCCGGAGGCAAGAGAAGACGAGCTAGCAGCTACATCTGGCATATCGAACGGGCGACGGAATGACCGACCTCCTTTAAATGAAGATGGTCTTCCCGGTGGTCTGCTGGGCGAGGCAGCGTACCTTGATGCGAACAATCAAGTTCAGTCAGCCATTTACCCATGGACTCCGGGACAGGATCTCAGGGAAGACTGGAGGATTTTTGATAACCTGTTCGAACCTGACGAACTAAGATTTTTATTTGACTTCCTTCCAAATGAATCATACACAATATGAAGGTGGTCAGATTGCACTACCAGGGACTTGTTCGAAACTGGTTAAGATCCTCTTATAGAATAGTTTCTTATTGGTCTATTCGTATGGGTAGGAGCAGTTACCATTAACATGGCGATCAATACCATGATAAAGGTTCATATCAAGAGAAACGACCCTCATGGAACTGGACTGCGAGAACAATACTGGTATCACACAGCAGGAACTTCAAGAAGAAGCAGCGCGTGGAGGCACTAGTGTGGAACATCCCAAATTCGATTTTCCACGGTAAGCTAGTTATTGAAACTTACGTAAACATCGATCGTGTTGCTAATAAAAGCCAGTTCGGTACCCTTCTTGTGAAGGCTTTTGGGTACTCTAGCCTTGAAACAATATTGGTATGTGTTATGTAGCATCCTAAGTATGAGTGAAAATTTGCTCATTTTTGTGGAATGCTTGTAGCTCGGGATGCTTGCGGGAGCGTTCGAATTTGTGCTTATAAGAAGACATCCCGTAGGTATTGAACAGCCGGCAGCGATACTGAAAGCGAACAAACTTCCGAGGCTTCGAAAGGATAACAAATCCCACCATTTCAGAAGGCGGCTAGGCATCCAATATATGTTTAGAATACAAGGGTATCAAAACCTGTCAAGAACTTATTCTATTTGAAAACTGTACGAGGTAAAACCCTCGGGTCTTTATATATCTCGTCTCATATAATTGCTGCCCAGCGGGATGGGGACCCTTCGTATACATTATACAACTTCCGCCTCTAATAACATTGATATATAAGTCACCTCATGGCACGTCCTATGCCGGCGCAGTGGTCAATGGCAGTGCAAGTAATGATGGGCCAGCGCTTGGTGGTCGTCGTCCTGGTCATGCTTTTGATTACCGGCATTCGTAATCAAACAAGGGTTCTTTTGGTACTTTGCGACAGTCCAATCAAAGACGTGATCGTATTGGAAGGACTCGCGGACAAATAGAGCACGGAAGATTCTGCGTAAATAATTATAGTCGGGTTTGTCGTGGAACCGTAAACAGCGCGTATAGTTCAGATATTCTAAGAACCCATTAGGGAGCCTACGGCAGAGAGCCTCCGTGGACGTCCCTAGCTTCTTTCTCAGAACAAGGCCACGCTTTTGTTGCTTAGTGGCTGCCTTCAGGCCCTGCCAGGGGAGTGCGCCGCGGTAGAGGTATACTAAGATATACGCCAGGGACTCCATGTCATCACGGCGGGATTGCTTGCTACCAAGGTGGGCGTAAACACTTGCGTAACGGACGGTGCCCGCAAATTGTCTGTTCTGGATGTAGGGAATATGCTGGTATGTCTTGGGGTCGCGGTATCTCCTGGCCAGACCAAAATCTACCAGGTTAACCAAATTACCATGCCTCTTGACACCCATGAGGAAATTCTCCGGTTTCAGATCACGGTGGATAAAGGATTCTGTATGAACATGCTCAGTGCGCGAAATCAATTGATCGGCGATAAGGAGCACGGTCTTTAATGAGAATTTCCAGTTGCAGAAGTTAAACAGGTTTTCCAGACTGAGTCCAAGGAGGTCCATAACCATCGCGTTGTACCCACATTGAGTGCCAAACCAGTGGACCATTGGGATCCCTACACTACCAGCTAGGAGCCTGTAGACATCTGTTTCATGCTCCAGCTGGTGGTGTTTGGCTGTAGTACTCTCGAGTTTGATAGCAACTTCCCCGCCAGAGACAATACCTAGACTCCCCATTAACTGGAGCTCCTCCACTACTGCCTAATATAGGCCTACCAATATAAACTTCACCAAAGCCACCGCTGCCTATTTTGCGTCTAATGCGGTATTTGCTTCCGACTCGTAAATACTTCAACCATATCAAAGGAACTGTAGAATTGTCTGGGAAATTGCGATTAATGCGTACCATGCTAGCCATTTAGATCGAGGGATAAAAGTGTGCCCAAGCGAGCGGCCGCCGCTTATAATGGTATCGTCGAGAGGACGCCATTTCTGGCACATTTCGGAGACCGCAGCGAGGTGTAAGAGAAGTTAGTATTGGCCGGCCTCCAGAACAATGTGCCTGGAGGTATATTGCGCTGCGGGCAAATGAGGTTTGGGTGGGTCGACGATCGGCACGTGGCGGTGCGTGGAGGCCGTTTTGGGCAGCCCATCTGCCGTCTTCTAGTTTAAAATAGGTAATATCTTAACGTAGTAGCGGTAGGGTGAGGCGACGGGCTAGGGGAAGCAGCCGGCTATAATCGCCGCTATTTTCAGACCCCTTTGGTATTCCCAATCTACGCCGTCTAGGCGTGTACGCGTATTTTCAGACACAATTGTCGATGTGAGCTATTTGGTTGAGCTGGAGAGATGGAACAGGGAAAGGAATCAGGGGAAGGGAACTAAAACTTTAAGGCCGCACGAAGGCAGCGTGTCACCACCATCTAGCTAGAATAACCCTGTACATACCTAAGTTAGTCTCACCGGCTGGCCAACTGGCCGTCGGCGACCCGAGAAGAGCCCCAAAGCTGGGAGCTGTATTCGGGTATAATGCACATCTCTCTCTCTCTCTCTCTCTCTCTCTCTCTCTCTCTCTCTCTCTCTATCTTAGCGTAGTGATTTTCAGGAAGTGTATATTATATGATTAGTATCTACAGGATCTAGGATAGGACTAAATGGTAGTAGTATTTATACTATAAAGTATAGACTATTCTATACTATATAGGTATTTTAAAACTGAAGGATTCAGGGGCCCTATCTTATGGCTAGAGATTATATTAGCAATATTCTAGGGAGCTAGACAAGCCCCTATTTACCTCTATATACCAGCTAAGATTTCATCTAGTAGGTATGTTAACGCATTGCCGCGTTCCCTAGATTAAGAGAAATATAGCGATATAGGCGATTTTACCTCATCTCTGCGAGCGGAGGATCAGGCGTAGGGATGAGAGAAATCGGGCGATTTAGACGATTTGATGAGGCAGAGCTTTGTATATACCCAGCCAAAGACGTACTGGCTGTAGTGGGAAATGCGATAAGATTCAACGCACTATACCCACCAACAATATCTGTTGCATTAACTCTTAAAGACCAAGCACGCAATAAGATCTTCTCTTTCTATCAACCTTGTCTAATCATTAAGCAAGCGTTCAAAAACTTTCGCTGCTGCCAAGACCTTTTCTTCCTGGAGTCTCTGAGCGATAATTTGTAGCCCAATCGGATGACCATTCATCCTTTCTGGATCATACAACTGCCAATTCCATTCATCCATCGGATTGCGAGGCTGATACGAAGGATCAGCCATATCAATGTCCTTCGAAACCGCTGTGACCGGGAAACTGAGAGCTGGATAGTCAAGGAAGTTCCATACTTTTGTATATCCAACCCAGCTATTTCCATGCATTATTAATAAGAGATTTGAGTCGAAGAATCCAGGTTGGCTTACCGGCAGGAGTTATGAGGCACTGCTGGATGTGGCATCACCGGAGCAAGGAGCACGTCCACGGTGCACCCAGAGATCGGCCCTCGAGTGTTGTTCCACAGATCAAGATACATCTTCTGACAACCTAGCTTCTGTCGATTGAGCTGCCAATATTCATAGACAGAGATAGGGCCTCCCCTGTCAACCAAGGCTTTCACGTATGGTAGGAAGGGCTCGTTGCAAACACCAATGTCACGGCGAATATCTTCGCCACCATCGGCTGTGTAGTATTGGTCCTTGCAAGCATAATCAGAACAAAACTGAAATAATAATTCTTCTGTAACACGTACAAAAGACGTACCTGGATGTTAATAATGCCTGCATGGCCTACTGGATCCCAAGTAACTATTTCATGGCCAGCCGACCTCAGCTTGGAAACCAGATGATCGAGTGCCCGTTGAATGGGTGGATGAACTTTGACGACACCATCATCCCAGATAACGCCAATGGTCAATGGGCGAGACTGGACTTCTCGGTACAATGCAGACCTCCACGGTAAAGCGATGCATCGTGGATCCAGGTCCCAGGGCTGCGAGTCAATCACAGCTTTGGTGGCTTCAGTAAGTGAGTGCAATGATCGTGCCATAGGCCCGATGACGGATGGGACATGTTCCTGCCCTTCGGTAGATACAGCAACATTATAGTATGGGAGACGGCCATTCTGGTAGATAATTGTTAGCATTGCAATTTGATGAGCTTTCCCTGCGGAGCTTACACTCGGTTTAAGCCCATACAAGCCCATCATACTACATGGTCCTCGGATAGATCCCCCGATATCTGTTCCCCAACCAATCATAGAGCCTTTGCATGCGAGTAAGGCAGACTCACCTCCAGATGAACCACCTGGGGTAAACGAAGGGTCATTTGGGTTGACGGTAAGTCCCCAGAGGGGATTTTCAGTTTCTGCCATCTGCAACGAGAATGAGTTCCCTGTAATATCTATCTCTATATATATATATATATACTGAACTAAACATTATTACCTACCATGATGCTTTGTGGGATATTTGTTTTGGCAATAATCACAGCGCCCAGCTGGGTCAAGATAGTGACAAGGGTCGCATCCTCGGTGCAGGGAGAGTATGCCCTGCCGACGTAACCCAAAGTCGAGTCAAAGCCCTTGACATTGAATTGATCTTTGAGGGAAATCGGCAATCCATGTAGCGGACCTATCGGCTTGCCTTGCCGACGGAGATACTCATCCAACTCACGGGATCGTTCAAGAGCCTGGTCGAACAGAAGCTCGGTTAAGCAATTAGTCTATCGCCGGTTAGACCCCCTTGGTGTAATTGATACAGCCGTGATACTACCTTTTGATGTGACTCTATTGCCCTAAGATTTGAATATCAGTTATACGCTTCCTTGAACCTCTCCGAGTCAAACTACCTATAGATGTAGGCCAGTGCTACACTTTCAGCTTTTATTTTACCCCGATTAAGTGAGTCCAGGAGATCTTCGTGTTCTAAAGAACAGATTTCGCCTTCATCACTGGCAGGCTTTGTCCTCGGGTGCTTCTGTAAAAAGGCTTCTATTGCCTTGGCCTGATCTCCGCGTTTGCGAGCAACGATATCTTGCCAGTCACGCTCAGGCATGTTATTAGCAATCGAACCCATAGCGTGTAGGATTGGATGCGTTGCTTGGATGAATCTTAGAAACCACTGTGTTGGCAAATAATGAAGGGGAGGCAGATTTGGATCGCAGTGATAGTACTAAATTCGGCGGAGATATACCTACTATGTACCTCGGCTTTGTGTCCGAGAGACCGCGCGTCCCCCCGCCGTGATGCGAGGTCTTTATCTAGATATCGGCGAAAAATCGCCGACCCGGAGTATACCCCCTGTTATCTGGTTCTGTCCTGTGCTCTATCTGAATTGTTGGTTACAACTAACAGAAGGAGATGAGTTATTAGTGGATGCCTGGTTGAAATTTCTCCAGTAATTTAGAAGACTATAGTAGTAATATACTATTATTTTATCTATAAGAATACTGTTGTATAACGGCAGATATCTTAATATCTGATGCCTCAGGTAATAATCATCCCACTCACAACCAACCCCATTAACCTAACCTAACCTAGCTAAACGCCAGTCTAAACTCTATATTTACTACTTATAGAGTGGATCTTAATTATAAGTTTAAGGGTATCGTGGATATTTTCTGGCCCCAACCAGTTAAAGAGGATGGGCTTAGCTCTATAAGTTTTAGTTAGCTATACAACGTGTACAGTCAGTTTGCCAGAGAGCTAAGCAGAGTGATTATAGATTACTCTAAAGTTATTCTGGATTGCTTTAGATTCGCGTCAACACTCTCTGAGTACTCAATGAGTGCTCAGTATATGTATTTCTTCCTCTCCCCACACTCTGGGATTAATCCCTGAGCAAAAAGTAGCCCTGAGCTAGTCTTATCTTATTCTGGAAAGGGAAAGTCGCAAAGTTTCTACACAAGAACCGTTCACAATTATTCGAACATATAAATCCTGCTACTTCTCCTTTCTCCAATACCTTTGGCTATCCTGCACCACCTTCTCTTCCCATCCACTCACCGGCCCAATCACTTCCACCTCCGTCTGGCCACTTGCAAACACGGTTCGACATGGCATATCCAATGTGAGGTTCTCAGCGTTCCCCTCTCCAATAAGTCCTTGGAGTGTTTTCTCCGACGCCAGGTACACCAAGCGTCCAATGTTTGCCCAGTAAATCGTACCCGCGCACATTGCGCAAGGCTCCCAGGTGGAGATGAGAGTTGTTTTGGCTAGATAGTCCCACGCGTAATTGTCAGCCGCGTTGCGGGCTAGTTCGGCCTCAGCGTGTCTGACATGCGACAGCGACAAGGAGGACATCAGAACGGTGGTATTATCCGGTGCCAGAAGCAACGCGGCGAACGGCCGTTTTGAGTGGATGTCTTGGCCGGTTCTCTGCAGCTCCAGGCATGCACTGGCGGCTGCGGATAACTGTTCGTCGGTCAGGGGAGACATTTTATGATGAGGAGTCGCCGATACTCTGTTGAATGTTGTGGGTGTCAGGCATAGGGTTTTGACGAATCGCTAAAACACCTTGGCCGGAATCAGATTTTTATATCATTCGGAACGGCGACTTCCGATATCTTCTCCGCACGAGGCACCGGGATTGCCCGCGCAGATACTACTTGCCCAATGATGGCAGCTGGATGTTGTTATCAGTTCCCCATATTTTATAGCGCGATGGGGCCAATTGCCCGTTACTTCTTGACGATGAAGCCCTTGGTCTGCTTCTTGGCTACCACGCTGTATCGATATCGCAACTTGCAGTGGCTTTGCAAGCCATCTGGGGCTGGGCTTTGCTTTCGACAGGGTCGAGAGTTATTGGCGATGAAAGCATGAGTTGCTATTGTCCGTTGAAAAGAGTTTAACACTATATCCAATAATCTTTACAACTACTTGGTTTATTTGCATTCTATCTTGCTGCTTCACAGATGCTGCATAGCTTGTATCAAACAGCCTTACGTCTCTGTCAATGGAATATTTGCCTCCAGAATGGAACACTCAATTCTCTCCACATGTCCACCCCATGTATCACAAATAGAGTCCAAATGATAGCATACTACTGCACCCTAAACCGTATTCTGGCTCATTCCAAATCACGTCCTTTTACTCGTTGATTCATATACTACTGCACAACACGTGTATACTAAAAGCAATACCTCTATACCTTAAGCACAGACAGGAATATCTCCCCCAGTCCACAGGCCACTGCATACTGCTGCCCCTAGCAACAATCTTGCCAATCACAAGATCATATTCCAATGTTAAAGTCACTCGTCTTCAACGTAACACAACCCACCATCTGACAGCAAGATATACCAAGCAGCCTACATAATACACCGAGCCGGCACATTTTGATCATATCTATAAATTACCTACACCAAGCTCATAAAAATACACAACCAACCCAATCCCCAAACACACCCTCATCTACCTCAACTGATAAGACAAAGAAAATCTACAAAAATGTACCTCTTTCAACCACTCCTTCCCTTCCTCCTCCTAACCCTAACAGCCTCCTCCCCGATCCCAACCCCTCTCACCCACGACGCAACAGCAGTAATAAACGATCTCAGCAAAATAACCACCGACCTATCCACCCTCACACAAAGCATAGTAGCCTACAACGGCGGAATCCCCGCAGCGCTAGACATCCAGGTTAAAGAAATGGCCGTAGAAAGGGACCTCGAGCAAGCGACGAGGGACACTACCGCTGCTACGCCGTTCACAGTGAATGAGAGTGCTACTACGACGAAAGCTCTGTTGGGGTTGGAGCCGGATATTCGGACTGCGCTTGTGACGTTGGTTCAGAAGGTATCCCCTTTCCACTTTTCTTGTGTCTATGTCGTTTGTAATGGAGATCCAATTTTAATATGCTTTTAGAAACCTCTCGTCGATGAAGTGAGGATAGGTTCAATCGTGAGAATGAATCTAGTCAGCCTTAGGACCAAGACTGGTACTCTTTCTACGGCATTGCAGAATAAGGCGACTGTGGTGGATAGGGATACACTTGCTACTAAGACGACGGAGTTGAATGCCGGCTTTGATAGTGCTATTCAGGCTTATTCTTAGGGTTTGAGTCTTACGTGCAACGTTGGTTGTGGAGAGGTGTTGGCTTGCTCGGTTAATACTTGAACTTCTGAGTTACGTTTGCATACTTGAATTTATTCAATTGAACTACTTTTATATAATTATATTTCCAAAAAAAAAAAAAAAAAAAAAAACCAGAAGTCATGAAACCCATACATATACTCAATGTTAACAGAAGACCTCGCATATGAATGCCAAACTCAACACCATCTTCAAAACACTCTAATCCAATTATTTAACCTAAACACTACCACCACCAACCCAACAACAATAACACCCAGTAAGATAAATCAACCTGTCTTAAAATTCACCGGTCCAGCCCATCCCCTCATGCCCTTCCCCTTAACCTGCAACAGCAACACAATCAAAACCGCCCCAACCACAATCCCCGCCATAGTCCCAAACTGCCTCCTAGCACCCTGTTTCTTCGCCCACTCAACCATAAAATAACTAACAATGAACCCACCAGTCGTGCGTCCAAAGTTAACCCACGCGGCAACCTCCCCACTAGCCTCCGGGTAGCTATCAAGGACGTAGGCATTTATGGCGACGGTAACGATCATGACGCCGAAGACGTACAACCCCCATCCCAGTGCAGTGAGCATGTAGTGATATGCTCCTTCGAGGGCGAAGCCGAGTAGGATTATCCCGGCTAGGATGAAGGGAGTTGCGAACCAGATAGCGAGGAGACGTGCTTCGGGCTCTAGACGGCCTTTGTTGCGTTTTGTGGACAGTTTTGCGAGGTAGTCGTGGAGCCAGTGGCCAGTTAGTTCGCCGAGGATGGCGGCTATGACTGGGGTGAAGTAGAAGAAGCCTTTCTTGTGTCAGTCTACTTGTTGGATAGTTTTCATGGGGGTGATATATGTGTGTATGTAAGGATGTAGTGACGTACCGATTTGCTTAGGACCGAAGCCGTATAATGGGCCTACAAAGATGGAGAGTGTTGTGTTGACGCCTACCACCCAGGCGAATGTAAGCATGTAGTAAATTGTGGATAGCAGTACTACCGGTTTCATGATTACGGTGATGGGACGCATAATTGCGTCTTTTGGGGTGTTGATGATGTACCCGCTCCGCCGTTGCTGGATGCCCAGCATGCGTTTCCATCGTGGGGCGTCGGGGATGAGTTCTGGTTGATGATTTTTGCGATCGTAGTATGTTTCCTCGACGAAGAGAATGATGGTGATTAGACAGAGACCGGTTTCGATGCTGTATAGACCGAAGGCCCACTGCCAGATTTGGGTGTTGGTTATGAAGGCTGCGAACATTGGGCCCAGATAGGGCGAGAGGATGATTGACCCGGACCAGATGTTAATTTTGCGAGCCTGTTCATGCAGGAAGAACATGTCTTTGATGAACATGAGGCCACCCTGTTAGGGTTAGGGTTTGTACGAAGACAAAGAGCATCAAATCTTGGCCCACTTACGCCTTGTGCAACCGTGGAGAAAAATCCATTCAGGATCCGGGCAGCCTGCTCTTGTCAGAATGATTCTCTGTAAATTGCCAAGCGCACATACCATGAATGACTCGAACGATTGCGCTGCAGTACACCAGATTGCGGTAGCAAGTGCCAACAGCACAAAATAAAACAGCACCGGAAGACGACCGAAGTATGCAGACAGAGCGACAACGACGGGACCACCGACACCCAGCATAAAGATATTACCAGCCTGTGAGTGGTTGACATGGTCTTCTGTCATATTCCACTGTCTAGCATTGATTTCAGTTAGCATTTCTTGTGCATATGTCAATGACCAGATTCTTACTTAGCCTGCTGGATAAGCGTAACCGCACCCGTAGCACTTCCATAGTCCGGCAGAAACGCAGTCGCCGAAATAACGAAAAGAATAAGATTCTTCCTGAACGGCGACCAATTAAGCGGATCATGAGGAAAGTTTGTGGGCTGCGGGATGAGCACGGTCTGGCCATCATCTGTGGTTTTTAGGTTCTGATTCTGGGTACGCGACGTGTAAAGCATATAGCCTTCGCGTTCCCCAATTTCCTCCAGGTCGATCACCGGGCGATCTTTCTCGGTGTCTGGAGTCTCTGGTGAAGAATGTCTAGCGTCCATTGCGCGGTCTCGGATGTATGATTCTCACAACTATGAATGCAATGGCCCATGACCTAAGAGGGGAGAGGAATGGGAAGAAAATGAAGGAAGGCGATCCTGCAGATCATAAAGTCTTTAGTTATAAATTTATTCCTTGTGCTGTATTTCCTCCTTGTGACACGAAAGTCAACATGGTTGGACAGGGGGCCGAGGGTAACTATGCCAAGTTCCTAACGCATCTCGTCTGTGGTCTAGGTGCGGTATTACAAGTGTACGTTAGACGAACACAGGATGATAAATGACTTGAAACCTCACGGAGGTGATCTGAACCAAACTATTATTCGGAGGTTATGGTTGAGTCTGAAAGTTAACACGCTCTAGCGTCGGTAGTAAAACGGGGATCCCGACGGTTAACCAAGAAAAGCCGGAGGCTAAAGACAATCTATAGGGACCTCCTCGTTGTTTCCACGGTTCAGCCGTCGGGCTTAACGTTTACTCGAATGACAAATACTAGATAGTCTTCCCAGAACATCTACCATTTGCCACTATAAAAGGCTTACATGTTCGCAGGTAGGTAGTATTGGAATGCAGCAGCGTAGCATAGCCAAGACAATCAAATGGTTCTACAACATGTAAGTCTAGAGGCTATAAGCATAGTCTCATTCTCAATACACGAATCATAACCAAGAACAAAACATCCAGATGGCAACCCACAAACATCAAGTAACTCAGCCCTCCAAAAATGACACATACATGAGCCAATGAAAAGGATTACGAGATTAGTTACTTGGACCCCCGCTGATCGACATCCACGTCAGATTGGATATGGATCTCCGTCGTCTTCATTATCCCCTGGCTCGCCTCCTCATCCATGATAGGGTCCTCACTATCACCATCACCCTTGTCCCTCCGTGGAGTAGCCCAAGCATCTCCATAAGTACCTAGGGTGTAATCCAGACTGCGACCACCAAACTCTGCATACCCTTGGCGGCGCCCATATTGGTTACCGGGGTGAGTTCGGGCACGGGCAGTGTTCCTTTTAGAAGGGCGTTTGTGGAGCAGAATGTTGACTAAGGGTGTCATGGCGGGGATACATGCGGCGAGAATAATGAGATACTGCTCGATGGAGGTCCATATTGAAAGGTCAACGGTGTCCCATGGGAAATCGGCTCGTTCGGTCAGTGAGGAGATGTTGATGGTCTTGACAATCGCAGCAGCCATGGCGCTGTTTGATCAGATTGTGGTACGGCTACCGTAGAAATAAATACTTACACAATTCCCAGCGAAAGCACACAACTCAGCCCAATCTTCACCTTACGGGCCATCTGCAGTCCGGCAATGGTTCTTAATGGATATATAGCAAGCGCGAAGTCAGAAAACGCGGAGGCCGCTATATGATCAGTACCACGGTTGAAGTAGGAAAAGCCAGTACATACATCCTTGGAAGAAGGCATAATTCTTCTGCACTGTCGGCGGCCAGCACGACCCTTCGATACTATCATCCCAAAGTTTCTGGGTGGGTGTACACTGGCCATACATAGTGTATAAAGAAACCGTATTGATAACGGTAAGGAGAGTAATCCCCCCATAGATGGCTATTTGGTGATGCTTGGCCTGCCCCATAATCCGTAGCAGAAACAACGCAACAGATGTTTTACCCCAGTTCGTCGCCATTACATGAAACCCCTGCGACATCCAGTTGAACTTGGCGCTCAGGATGCGCTGTGTCTCAGTGAGTTCGACAGCATGTCGGCCGGTACCATGATGCACGCTGATGGTCGTGAAAATGCTTTCCACCGTCGCGCAGACCTGCCACTGTCAGGAAGATGTCCATACATAATCATTGGCAACCCTACCATGGCCAGTACAATAAAGGCATCATCCCACCCTAGAGGCCGAACAATGCGAGCACGAGTCCAGATCCGCAGTGCGACTAAGATTGTGCACACACTGAACAGTGGCCACGCGGCGACCTTGATCACCCATTGCCGGCTCTCGCCATTGCTTGGTGGTGTCGTATTGCCCATTGCAGTCTAAGACAAGATATTTGGAATTGCAATAGAGACTGATGCCGCGCAGCAGGGAGCTCCATGTCTAGCGCTGACAGGGGCCCGCCAATACGTCGATTTATAAAAGTCCAATTGCCGACTATGTGCTGTGCTACCTCACTAGCTTATTAAGTATTGGTAGCTCAGCCAAATGAGTCTAAGAAGCTTTTGTTCCATTTATCAAGTCTGGACTAGAATCTAACTTCACTCGCCAAGAGGCCAAAACAGAGAATGGCTGGGTGAGATTGGTCCACGTCCCTTAGGGCACGGGATGGATTTGGAATTGACAGGAGGATTGGACCTACAAAGCGGCGGTAAAAGGCATCTCTACTCTAGTGCAGTTGCACAGGCAGGGAGTCTTGTTCCTTTGAATTGTAGTATATAATGGGCGAATGCGCCACACCAGGTTCCAGCACCGTTACACTGGTTTCACGTCGCCTAGAAGGCGGCCGATTTGAATAAAGAAAAAGGAAGACTTGTGCACAGCAATCGGTCCCCATACTGTTAATCTTGTGCCTTGTAACGATCGCCGTCCGCTGTCTCTTTCAAGGTGGACAGAGAGTCATCGCAGGACCTGATTCGACAACGCCTGAATTGACTCTTACTCTGCAGCTACCTGGCGACATGCCACTAATAATCATTCAGTTTATTCTTGTACAGAATTCAGGATTTCGGTATTCTCCGAGGTGATTCGATACTTCGTCTGCACGGCTCAACAGATAGAACGTGTCACTACGCAGGATGTGTATAGTATACCACTAGAAAAGGGTATGCTCGCTATGATCAAGTCAGATGGATGCGTAGATGCACCGGAAAGACTAGATGACGCTGACCAGGCTGGAGAGCATAATGGATGTGTTTTCAAAAGGTACAGGAGGTGGAATGAACTGCGTAGGGAGCTTTATTTCTATTTATATAGAAACAACTATACGAACCAACAAAATGGCAATTTATAGAACTCGGCGCAACGAGGATATGCACCTATCACAGCGCTAAGATCTTTTCAGCTGCGTGCTCCGCGACCGTGACAACGTAAGCCGAAGGGTTTGTAGTGATCATGCCCGGGAAAATACTAGCATCCACAACGAACAGGTTGTCCGTTCCGTAGACCTTGGTATTCAGATCAACAACGGCGCTGCCTCCGGCGCGACCATCATCTGTACCTATTTTGCAGGTTCCTATCATAGTTAGCGACGTCATTTAACAAGGCATAATCGCAGCTCACCCATCCAGTGGTTAGCCCGACGGGTTCCGGCGGTTATTGGCATCTATCGGTGTCAGTTACGTCGAACAACCTTTCAGAATTTACCACTCACAGTCTTGACAAACTCAGCGATAGAAGTGTTCCGAGCAGGGTAGGTCCAGGTAAGTCCTGTTCCGTTCAGGGCCCTCTTCAGGTTCTGGATTCCCTGGATCACAGCGCTGACGTCGCTCTCGTCCCGCAGGAATGGCAGTGTCGAGACCACCGTGTCCAATCCTGCAGTGATGGTCATGCGGCCACGCGAGGTTGAGCCGCGACCGAGGTACTGGCTGATGGTCATGGCGTCTACAAGGCGGTTAATATCTTGCACTAATATTTCACATAATAGCGAAAACGTACGTCCGTCAGGCGTATCGTGACCGCCTTCCACCCGAGCAGTCCACTGTATCTGACGTTTGATGCCATCAGAACCGGTGACTTCGTCGAAGATTCTACACACGTTAGTGTCATGACGGGTTTGGTAGACGGACAACCTACATAGGACCAATATTAGGCGCAGCCTGGGCGAAGATCCCGGTTCGATCGTCTACCAAGGTTAGTGTCGGACAATTCTTCCGGTCATGACTACATACTCAGATAGCTCGTCGCGTCGCTCTCGATGGGGGTCTTATATGCCGCTTTGAAATCATAGAAGACAACATCCGGGTGAGTCACCACAACATCAGTCTGTAAACATCTTATTAGCATGACATCGGTCTCCCCCGGATACACTAAGCACTCACATTGACATGATCGACGAGGTTCTCGCCAACCGGCAGTTCGATCCACTCCGATTCGGCAATCATCGTCTCCCCGTCAGTTGAGCTCTTCACCACGGACAGCTGGTCCTTCGGACCGATGCCACCTATACACTATTAACAATAACTCCTTAACAATATCACCAGGCTAAGCGTACTTCTCATAAGGACCTTGGGCGTTCCAAAGGTTCCCGCAGAAAGAATGACACGGCCCGTGTTAGCAGTTACGTTGACGGTACCCGCATAGCCACCATCGAGGGTTGCCTCGACTTCAACTCCAGTGATACGTCCGCCCTCACGAACAACCCTCTTGACAGTCGTGTTCGACCAGCGGGCAAAATTATCCCTCTCGCTGGCCGATACCAGATACGTCCCCATGGGCCCTCCGCGCTCACCTCCAGAGAACATGAAAGGTGCGTGGCCAAAGGTCTTGGTCTTCTGGGCCGGGACGTCGTTGAGCGTCACAGATGACCATCCTGCGGACTGCAAGCCTGTTTCCAGTATATTGGCTCCTTGCTGGTAATAAAGCTTTCCATCGGTGGAAGGGGTTGTGGTTCCCGGGATCCGCGAGAACACGCGGTCAGCAGCAGACTGCATATCGGATGACTGCCATCCCTCGGGGAAGTTGTAGTCCCAGTCCACAGGGTTTGGCTGGAGATTGTCAGCAATGGATCCAAATATAATATCTGGGTACGGCTTACCCTCCACCACAATCCCGCGTTAACGGCGGTGCCTCCACCCAGCACACAACCTGCCATCTGGTCGGTATCACTGCAGGCGATACCGTTGGAGTCGACCCATATCTGGTTGCACAGTCCAGGGACATCAAATCGCGTCAGGTTAGTATCGTCTAACCAGCTGGGCTTCATGGTGCCACCCCAGCGTCCCGATGATGGAGGGCCTTTCTCGATCAGGAGAACACTGTGTCCAGCCTCACTGAGCCGATCGGCGACAGGTATACCTCCCGCACCTCCA